CAAACAAAACTACATGTATACCAAACTTGTCAAAAAGGCAAAGACAACTTTAAACACTGGAATAAAAATGAAGCTAGTGTTTTCATGGCTTGCATTGTAAAAAAAAAAAAGTGGCCCAAACAAAGCAAAAGAATGGTGTGCTTTGAACACAAAGTTTCCATATTGGAATGTTTCCTTTTTTTTTCTAAAGTGTGTATTTCTAATATCTCCTGCAATGCAACAATACTAGAGATTTAATGAGAAAAAGTTCCAAATAACCTAAAATATCTAACAACTACATACAGCAACAAACAATCTAGTACATAGTTCTGAAGTATGAAGATCATTAACATGATATTACAATACAAATCACATAAAATCACATTAAGGGACTAATCATTAATTATCAAGAGAGGGGCTAGGTGTACTTTGAATGAACAATAACCTAATGCTACCAAATACAAGTACAAAATAGTATCAAGGTAACTTTTTTGTTCCAAAGTTTTCCTGTTTTCCCCTCGATATCATATATTTCTATCCCTAAAGTATACATTGCTCATATCACATACTTCCACATTTTCTTTTATATACATACACGCACGGAAATCTGTCTAAAAATACTTAGCTTTACCAACATTGTATAAGACAGTCACAAATTCATTTTCATACACTGAACTTTTTCCCTACAATTGGACAAATTTTCTTGCATCTAATACAGCAATTTTGCTGGGTACGACCAAAATATTATTCATTTTTCTAGGAACTTAGGAAAAATTATAAGACACAAAGAAATTTGTCCAAAAATTATCAATTCCTCTGGCTTGCAGAGGAAGAGATGTATAAATTCAGTGATAAATTATTTTTTTTACCATTTGGTTCAAAGATAATAATACTGAATTGTCACATGTGGCAGGGTCTTTTGTATATCAACAGTTAAAAAACATGCCTGCCAATGTTATGTGGAAGTGTCTAAAAACAATAAGCCGATACATAGTTTAAAATGGGCATGTATGGTATGGTGCATTGTGGCCATAGTCGAAGGTCTCTGAGACGTAAAAAAAAACATGTCTAAACACATGCCCGTAGCCAGGGGGGGTTCGGGGGTTTGGAAGAACCCCCCACAAGGCTCAAAGGTCCACTTTTTATGTAAAGGTCCACTTTTTATGTAAAGGTCCAAGATTTTTCTTGAAAAGATGGACTGGAATCGTAGAAAAACTGCTCCCTTTGTCATTGAATAAAAATTTATCTCTGATTTTTTCTTGGAAATCCTCTCAAAAATGCACGAAATGCCATTTTAGAAGGTTCACTTTTCAAAATTTTTCGGGGGAGCATGCCCCCAGACCCCCCTAGGAACCTCGCGCCTACGGCGCTCATGCCCCCCTCAAGCAGTGGGAAGAACCCCCCATTCAAAATCCTGGCTACGAGCATGTAAACATGGTATCAAGCATGGTCTCACCTTTTACCGTATGCATGCACAATTTAAACCTTGAGCCAGCTTATAACAGTGCATGAAAATGGCTGTTGCAAAGAGTAGGGCTCAGAATACTTCAATTCAGTTTTGTGATTCATAACACTAAGCCTTTTTCTTTTTCATTTGCTAAATTGCAAGTTGTTAAAATTTCTTTCTGCTACTTGAAAAAAAAATTCTGTAAATTTAAGACCTGTATTCTGAGCCGTGGAGAGAATATGACATGTAGAGAAGTCAGAATTATGAAGCTTTCAAAGTCACATAGCCTTTCAAATGGGTTTGTCTTTTCATCAGTGCAAGTAGGACTGTATACAAATGCTTAAAAAACCGTCTTGCACTCAGAAAAATCTGTCACAAAAAACTATCAAGTTCAGATGTACTCATGCCACCTAGGAGTTGAACAAAAAATGCAGCGACTTATCGTAAAGCAATGCTTAGAAACAGATATGTTGTTACAAGGGCCTTCAAGTTTAACCTATGATTCCATATCTGGAACTTGTTACGAAGATTGGCAAAACTATCTGCACTGAGGCCACCCAGCGATTTAAGAAAGAACTGCAGCGACTTATTTCAGATTTTTTCTCTTGCACAAACTTGAGGTACTGTAAATCACAACTTTTTTGTATTACTTTTATATTAGCAGTTTTTGCGGTCACTTCTGTACCACGAACTTATCATTACCGTGAACAAATGATTTGCCGACTTTCTTTTGCTGCACCTGTCACCACTGTGAACATATTAGTTCTGCCAACATGTCCAATTTTCTCAGACAGCAAACATAAAGTGATTTACAGTACACTGTAGGATGTATCTGTATCTAGTTATTGAGATCATATTTCAAACTTATCAAAGTTCTACATCATATTCTCAATTGTTTCTTAGTTTGCTGTCCTAAAATTCTAGCGAGACATTTTCAATTCTTCTCAATACTAGTACTTTAGGAGGCAGTTAGAAACTTGGTGAAAAAGCAGACTGCAGTATGTAAGCTATGCTTTGACAAGAAGTTTTTCACTGAAAATCTTGGTGCAACCTTTTTCTATGTGTTGTTAGTCCCAAAGAAGCAAGAACACATTAAAGTCAACTCTTATTATCAAGAAAAAAGTGTAATATTAAAAAGATCTACTAATGCAGCATCTGTTATTTAATCCTTGAGGTACACAAAATTCTTGAGAAATATTCTTGGCCGTCATATTGTCCCCAACAGAATTATACATTTTTCTGATGTTTATGAGAAACATAAAACATGGTACTCAACAATTACACACTTGTCTTCACACTGAATCATAGCAAAAAGAAAAAAAGAAACATACAAGGCAAATAAGGAATGTGTTTGAACGAAACAGACTCTTTCAATGTAAAAGGCATGCTAAAGTTTGGATCACTGGTTTACTTAACCTTCTCCCTGCTGCTTAAACCCATAACCAATACAAATTTGGTGCCAGACGGCTACTTTAGCAGGCTGAAGGTAAAGATATGGTGGAATGGTGCCAGAAGTAGGTGCTGTTGTAGCTTGTAGAACAGAGCTGAGCCGTGTACTGTACAGGTCCTGTCTGTAGGATGTTATGTTATGTACAGCGTTGGCAGAGCGTTTCTCACGTGGTCCCCGTCGCTCCCTCCGCCTGTTCCTCGTCCGCCTCGTCTGTGTGTGTTTCTGCCGAGTTTCCCGCCGTGTCCACGCCACTGTCAACGTCGTTCGATAAACTCAGGTCATCTAAGTTCTGAGATGAGGGGAGGCAAGTTAAGGACACACTTTCAAGTATGGACGCTAATCACTGACTTCTCACTTAAAAGATGAAACAAGCAAGAAGACAGAGATTTCAAACTTGATACAGGACTGCAGGATTACTACTGTTACTACTACTACACTACAACAACAACAACTACTACTACTACTACACAAGTACTACTACAACAACAACTACCACTACTACAACTACTACTACAGCAGCTACTACATGTACTACTAATACTACTTCTGCTACAACTACTGCTACAACTACTACTACAACTACTACTACTACAGCAACTACTACATGTACTATCACTACTACTACTACTACTACTACTATAGGAAGTACATGTGTATTTTGGGTCTTTTTCAATTGACTATTTTTCAATTGAGATTGTAGAAAATTAAATCTGGACTAGGACAGAAACTGTGTAGGTTCAATTAGGTGAATATTTTGGCTTTCCGCCATTGTCTACCTCTAATACCTGCTGTCTCCGGCCAGGTTCTGGGACCTTCAAGTTCAACACATTTCCTGTGTCTGACCTTTTGACATCCTGCCTGTCAATCTTTCCCCCACCCAAGTGCTGTCAACCTACTCTGCTGCCTCTTCATAATGATGGATAAAAACTGACTTACCTCCAACTCTCTCATGACCAAGTCTGTGAAGTCTGTCGTGTTCTCTTTGTACCCTACCGCGGACTTGATGGCCTCTCTGAACATCTACAACAACAAATAAACAATAAATAACAACAAAGACATCATTGCTGATTTTGGAACGTTCCATCTGGAAAAGTCGGGAGGGGTTGAAATACCTTTGTTGGTTTCAAGAATACAATAGGAGTAACAGTTCTTAAGTCATGAAGAATCAAACTTACTGTTGAGGTATCATCGTAAAACACATTATGTACTTGCACTTCTGAAGTGAGTTGCTAGGTGGGGCTACTGTACTATGAAATGTCATGTTTTACCTTGACCACGTTTGTTCCATCTGAGGCTGACACGAAGTAGAAAGGTAGCTGGTGCTTCTTTGCAAAGTTAAAACTTTTCTGTGTGACTTTGTAGTCCACTGAAAAAAACAAGTAAAATCAACATAAACATACAGTCTAAACATTGGTTAAATATATTCTATATGGCTATACAAGTTCTTCTGACTGTCCTATATATGAAACAACCATGCAAAGACATTTTCTCTTTGAATACAAGATGTTATGTCTCGTGGGCCTTTTCGAAAGGAAACTCTGGGCAAGCAAAAGAAAGCAATGAAATATTACTAGAGATTTGGGCATGTAAAAAAATGTTTTGAATAGGATTTAGAAAAAAACAACAGATGCATGCATGTTGCACAGTGCATAAACTACACAAGCACCCCACAAACTACACATTTCACTCCTTTCACTGAAGCCCCTGTCACACATTCAGAACCTTCCGCTGACCACCAACTGAAGTCTGGGAGCAGTCTGACCAGATTTACACAAATGTAGGCTATGCCTATCTCTCTATGCGAATCAAATCAAATTTGAGTTACATTCGAGTCAAATTTGACCCCACACATGTTCTGACCACTGTTAACCTACTCCCGAACACCAGCAAACCATGACCAAACCTCCTGTCCATACCTGAATGTTTTAAACATTTTGAAATATTCGGCTGGCGCTGCCAAACATTAGCCGACCTTGGGGAACACCAGCCAGCCACAGCTGACCTTGCTCCCAACCTATTCCATAATTGGGTGGAGTTCTGCTAGTGTTCAGGAGGCCATATTCAGCTATGTGTGACAGGAACTTAAGGTATAGTAATTTATGGGTGAAAGGAGTCTATGGGAGTGACGAGGCTCTAACAGAAGGTGACAGGGCGTGCATGGGATCTTCTTACCATCTAAGAAATCAGCATGAGATGGTCCGACATGAAAACAAAGGGAAAACTGTGGTGAAATGCCAAAACAAGCTTGGCGCTGGAAGCTTTGTGTGTGTGTGTTTAAAGCTGAGGCTAGAGAATTAGGAAGCGCAAAGCTGACAATAGACTGACTCCATAGTCCAGCAAAATGAAGAAGCACAAAATCAACATATGAAAATGCAAATATTTAATGATCCTCTTGTTGGGATAGCTACTACTACTAATTACAGCTACTAACTATCTAATTGGTTTCAATGCTAAGTGCCATGCTATCATTGGTTGAATTGCTAATTACCGTGCTATCATTGTTGCCATACCGTGCTATCATTGGTTGAATTGATAATTGCCGTGCTATCATTGGTTGAATTGATAATTACCGTGCTATCATTGGTTGAATTGCTAATTGCCATGCTACCATTGGTTGAACTGCTTCGAGTTCACAGAACTCAAGTAGTATTTTGGGAACTGTGGAAGTGATTGTATAATGTGATTTAATCAGGTATTACACCACTTCCTGAAGTTGTGTGTTAGATCATTTTCAGGTGACCTCCCTATCAATCAACTGTCAAAATCACATCCCACCCATCTTGCAACTAAAATCAATTATCCTATCATTAGGACAGACAAACCCATAAACTCAGCCACCCAAAACAATACTTCCTTACCCAGATGTAGTGAGAAAACTTACCGTCTATTTTATTTGCACAGACGAGGCAGGGTATCTCTGGTCGGTACTGTCGCAGCTCTTTGTACCAGTTGGGCAGGTTCTTGTACGTAACCTTTCTCGTCACATCAAACACCTGCAATGTACACAGCATTCTTATTTACTCAAAAACAAACAAACAAACAAACAAACAAGCAAGAAACATTAATATTCCTTGATTGCTTACATTGGGTAACAAGAAATATAAAATTTCAGAGAAGTGCTTCTGGGTTTTTGTGAAAGTGTTGGGACTGTGGAGGAGATTATATGATGTAATTCAATTGGACATTACACACAGTCAACCATTTCCTGATTTCCTCCAGGTACCAACCACTTACTCCCATCCGGTATGTATTGTCACCTTCAGACTTGACCTGGCTGTCAATCAACTGTATCCAAATATACTCTGTCTCCCTGCAAACTGTTTTTGCTGCAGACAAGCATGCATACAAACACACACAAGCCCACTCAAAACAATACTTCTGTACCCAGACATAAAGATAAGAGAAGAAATACTAAAACTATACCCTTGGTACCATGATGCTTTATCAATACCAATTTAGCACACCTCTCCATCATCATTAACGGTCCCCCCCCTGAAATGTAGGGACTCACCAGTATACAGCAGTGTGCCTGGTAATAGTAGGAAGGGTGCATGTTGTTGAACCTCTCTTGCCCTGCCGTGTCCCAGAAATCTAAAACAAACAAACAAACATTGTAGTAAACAACAACAAGGCATTTCTGTACCAACATGATATTTTGGGAAGTTGTCATGTTCATATAGATGTTTGAAAAAAAAAAACTGTTGTATGTTTACCACTGGTTTTAAATCACCCCTTCATACCCTCAAAGTAACATTGTGAATACTGAAAACCCCTTTGCCAGCCTCTGTTCACTTCAAGAACCATGACACATCTTCACTGTACGGGTGAAGTAGGTTAAAACGATAATTTCACTCACCTACGCACACGTCTTTGCCGCCGACTTCCGTCTGATACCGGAATAACGTGAGTGCGTACGTGGAGAGTTGCTGTGGTTGGCTGAGAGGATTATGTCAAGGGTCGTCAACGGTTTCCCAAGGCAAGTCCTTAACAACTACAAAAGTCATTTGTTATATAAGCGCATTTCATACACAAACACCCCAGCTTTTATGTCTAAAATAGAAAATCAATGAATATGTTGCAACTGTATACCTGTTCATCTCAGTTTGTACCAGATAATCTATGATTCTATTAGGCCACACCGACTTAATTTTATGGATGACATCCTCTGAAGGCACCGAAACTAGTGCGCGCGGGCGAAAAAAAGAAAAATCCGGCCAAAAATGATACTAAACCATACGAATACAAAGCTGGTATTGTGAATTTGGCGCATTACATTGCGACGTATACGACAGGCCGGCACATGCTGGATTTCTGCGGAATTTTTGAATCGGCACTGTACGTATTTACTGAGTTCTTGAGTTTGGTTGCCTGGGTGCCATCATCCAGAGTGAGTTACCACCGGCTTCCCTGTCCCTAACCACCATGGACTACCCAGGCCTAAAGCCAGGCCAGAGCCTCGGAAGACGTGATCTTTTTTTTTTTGGACATCAGGCGAAAATCAATGCGCGCGCGGATGTCATCCATAAAATTAAGTCAGTGTGGCCTTATAAGCAGATTAATAAAATGTGGACTACTTATTTGCTTTTTTTTTACAATATGAGATTCATGCATGTAATAATACATCCATATTCTTTTAGCTACATTGTTTCCACTGTATCACTATAGTAACTGTACTACAGAAATACAGAATTGTTCCCACAACAAACTTAAATCTTAAAACACCACAAAAAGCTCCAGCTCTTTTCCCCTTCTACCATGAAATTAAGTCCTCACAAAACATAGTTTTACAGTATATGATTTACACAACTAGATGTCATAAAAGGATACTATCCATCCATGAGAAATCTCTCCACCAATCTGAAATGGTAAAAGGCAATAAAACATAAGTAAAACAATGTTTCCATATCATACACCATGTTGTTTTCTCTTTATGCCATACTCACCCAAGAAAACACACATTTCAATGCGAAATCAGCCATAATTTGATAAAATTTGGTGTCCTTAAACAAAAAATTGTAACAACATCAATTCCAATGTCTAAGTCTGGTATTCGAATTTTCGATAGCGGCAAAACATGTTTGAATTATTCCATGGAACCCGTATGATGACTGTTAGAACCCCGTGTGATATGGGTATGTATTTCTACACTGTACTAGTATATAGGCTGGAACACGTGTATCAAATGTTATCACGGCCCAGGTATGACATACCAGTAAAGCTAAATAATTATATATATGTATAACTCCAGTGCTGATCGTACAATGGCCAAGAAGTTCGACCTAATCTTTCTTTATAAAAAATAATTAGAAAGTTAGGACGGCAAACATTCATTCTAGCGGTATGTTTAATGGATACACAGATAACAGTGGTATCCAGTCCAAACACAACAATACTATCAGCTTTTGTGTAAATATACCATAGAACGACTTGTTTACACAACTGGGCATTGGTTTTATAAACAGCCATTTTCAAACAAGCCCAACGGCCAAAAAGAAAGACTTTCATGGGTGGTTACTATGAAATTATTAACGTTTTTTTTACTGTAATTCATGAAGCAAAATTTCACAGTCTGAGGAAAATGGACATGTTCACAAAAGTTAATCTTCAAGGTAGCAGAAGGGAGGGGGGGCAAAAGGCAAATGATTTGATAATTTGGTAATAATAAGTTCACAGTACAGAAGTGAACTTCAAAAACATGAGCATAAAAGTACCATGAAAGTAATGACTTACAGTACTTTGTGACAAACATACTAGTACTGACAACCAAATTTCTGAATGAAAAATTCAAACCTCAACTCTTTCCGAGTATTGGGCTTTGGTAACATGTTTTTTCTCCCTCTTCAAGCATATTTTTTCTAGAAGAAGCAAAGAAATACAAACCAAAAACTAAAATAACAAATGCGGCATTTGGCAAAGAGTCAAGGGACCAAATTTGAAACTAATGATGACATAGAAACAACACAATGGATACTCTGTTTACAATACAATACCTTTAGTGCAATTTTTGATACAGAATTTGAAACCTTCTTGGGAGTAACTATTTTCCACTTAGAATAACCAGCCATTTACTAACTCTTATACTTTTATAGCTTGTACATTGATTTAGTGATATACTGCAATGTATAGAGCTAATGAATATTCATGTGGTGCCTCATGAATATTTATTAGCTCAGCAAAATATTAGCCTTGTTCATAGATATTATTTTAAAAAGTTACAATCTCACCAAACGGGTGTTCTATAGATGTTTTTTGGCATGTATCTAGCATGAGGGTTGCACAACCAAAATGTTGGTTGCACTACAGATCACCTGTTGGTTGTGCAGGTGGAAACACCTGTCAGATGCACCTGTTTCAAACAGCTGTCAGGGCTGTATACTAGTAACCTTGCTGGGGTCATATTGATACCAGCTGACTGTACTCTTGTTAATAATAAACTTGGAATAAATAAAAGACCAACAGTCTGTTGTTGCAGCAAGTGTCTTTGAAACAAGTTGCCATTTTTCTGGTTTTATCTATTAGAGAGAGGCAGGCATAGATTCAGTTAGAATCTAATTTCTAAAGGTTTCAGGTTTGACATGATCCTATAGCAGACCCCAATGTTGTGACCTTGGAAAAGGCACATGTACATTACATCTAGTTATAACTCAGGTCAAAATGAGAACATAGCTGTGGTTAAGGCTATGCTAATTTTACTCCTATTTTTTCACTTGGCTAATTTTATTCCTATTTGCTTACTTGACAAAATGAGTACCAAGCTTCGGTTCGGGACATCCCCTTGGGTTGGCAATACCACTGCCTTAGAATCCAAAGGTTTAGGGTTCGAATCCAGCGCAGGCCTAAATGTTGTGCCCTTGAGGAAGGCACTTTACACGTATTCACTAAAAATGTCAAATCAGGTGAAAATGAGTACTGGTACCTAGCTTCAGTTAGTGACCTCCTCTTGGGTTGAAATTACACTGACTTCAAAGAATGTAAAGGTTCTAGGTTCAAATCCATAGCAGGCCCCAATGTTATGGCCTGAGTTTATAACTTAGATTACAGCCCCTGCCAGATCTGGTTGAAAATCAAATGTTGTGTCGTTGGGAAAGGTACTTTACAGTTTTATTACACCTATTTTCTCACTGAAATTTGGTTGAGGACGTCCTCTTGGATATGACGTAAAGCTGGAGGTCCTGTGTTTGAGAAATTCACACCTCAAGCACGTTAAAATCCCACCATACTTATCCAAAAAATTGCCAGGTGTGCGTGGATCAAACCTTACAGTCCGATCTAACATGTACTTATTGCACAAAACTGTTGTGTTATGCCTTGAGGCAGTTTACCAGTTATACAAAAGAAACAATTATGGCACACTTGCCCTTTCAGTCACTCTGTCTACATACATGATCTTACCCTTGGGAGCTATTTCTGAAAGTGGAAAATGAATTTGAAACAGAATTTGATCCATATGGTCACCCAAAGGAATATGAGACTACTTAAACCTCAGCTTTTAAGAGATTCTGATCTTCAAAGATTGAAATTATAGCATTTTTTCAATGATGTTTTTCAAAGAATAAAAATCATTCTATTTCATATTATTTATAATTTGCCAAATTTTTCAGTTCAAATGCAGATATTTGGGCACAAAAGTTTATGTACCTTTCTCGCTTCAATACTGGTCATACAATATTGCAAATAATTCTACACTAAGTACCGTTACTTCTATTTGTAAATATTTGTCTTTGATTAGTATTTCATAAACATAATTTATTCGATCAGGTGGTCAAAACACAACTGGATAGTGTTTACGTTATGTTCTTTACAAGAACAAACCATAGTAGGTATAGGTTGGTAAATTAAGTCAAATTTTCTGCTATTTTAAAGATTTTCGTTCCAAAATATCTGTCATGAAGCCTCGGAGATTTGCACATGTCGGAAAGCCGGTGTTTCAAACCGTGCCTTGTAAGAAGGCGGAAACATGCCATTTAAGAGGTCGACTACACCCGTTCTAAGGAGAATTCGAGCTTCAAACTTCACAAACATGATCTCTGGGACTTACTTGGACTTGCCTACGGCGCTGTCGCCCAGACAGATGACTTTGACTTTATATTCGCCGTCTTCTTTGTCGTACTCTGGCACTGAAGCTCTCAAATCCGCCATTTTGAATTTACGAGAAACTATGCGGCGCTGGGCATCATGGGAATGATCGGCAGGTGAGCGCAAAGCGACACCTTGCGAAAAGGCTGGAAAGTACAATCTAGCAAATATCTAACGTGCTATTGAAGCATTTTCTCCATGATTATGCAAATGATATGCACATTTACATAATGTATGTCTGATAATATTCCCCTTATCTAACCTACTAGTGTCATTAGTATAACTAGTCCATCAATTACCACTAAGGTATTATACAATGTCACCATTAATTATTCAAATCAGGTGACGATTTACATTAATTAAATCCACTAATGTTCCTTTCAATTTAAACGGGTACGGGTGAATATGTAATTTCTATCATAACACACAATTGTAATAGAGAATTCGGGTTTATTTTGCTTCATTAAGCAACAAATCATGCAGCCTATAATGCCCTACCATAATGCCCTGTATTGGGGAAACTGTAATTAGAAATTCCAGGTCATTGGAACGGGCCTTTCACTTGTATATGATAAATTTCAATGTGACATTTTTTAAACCAATTAAGCCACAAAGAACGAGAGAGAGAAGGCCCCAAAGCTTGTTTGGCCCGTTGCCACGGGAACAATTAGTGTTGAACATAATTAAGGCAAGCTACTCGAGGGGTTGTGGGCAAAGTATTATATATCATTGTTTGGTCCGTTGTCGTAGTAACAATCGGTTTTGAGCAGAGAATAAGCTATTTCAAGTGGTTGCACATGTGGGTAAAATATTGTCACCGTATAAAACACATATTTTACCGGTGCCACCAGTATTTGGTCCTTGTTTGATATTGGGTAGTCGAATGCCAGTTCAGATAGCCCGGAAGTCACAATGGAACCTCCGGGTTTGTATCTTGCGCGTCCTACTTGTAACAAATAAGACCCCCAATTCTAGCGCAGTGCGTTTAATTTAATTATAGGAACGTGCAGAATAACAATTTACAGCGTTAAGCTTTGCCGTCTTCCTAAATTTGCTACTTAACGTTGTGGGACCTCCTTTATCAACCGTTAAGCGTTGCTAGGATCCCCGTGTAGACCTTAATGACAGTCGTTACCACCTGCGGTACGGCGAAAAGGAATACTTGGAATAGGTTACGACGTTTTTTTAAACATCGATTAAGAAAAGCACAGAACGGCAAGAGTTTGCAGACTCTTAAGTCTATAAATATGAAATCAGCATATGTCACATTATAGATCATTATATAGGACATCTTATACACTAGTAAGTGCTTTAGAGTCTGTCAAATGTCAGACGACACCATCACACGTACAGCCGCACACAGCGTCGGCTTTGGAAGCATTTTCGGACATCTCTTGTCTGACGGCCGATCGTTTCTACACCCCCATCAAACTCCTTTCAAGCCGTACCCGGAAATTCGTGCCGTACCCGCTCAAAATTTCAAGCCGTACCCGGTAATTCGTCCCGTACCCTGTACTTTTTCGCCGTACCCAATATAATGGCGGATATCGCTCAGCCCCGGTGCGTAGTCACTCGGAAGTCGTGTCTAAATACCCTGTACGGCAACGATACACAACCTCATATAGCCTATGCTCTGGTACATGGTAAATATTCCTGGCCACCTATTTTTCGCGGGTACGGCACGAATTACCGGGTACGGCTTGAAATTTTCGCGGGTACGGCACGAATTTCCGGGTACGGCCAGAATTTTTGAGCGGGTACGGCTTGAATTTCCGGGTACGGCTTGAAAGGAGTTTGATGGGGGTATTTCTAGTACTGTCCTTGGTGCTGAAAGCTAAGTTTTGTTACCGCACCGGCACTCGCTGTGGATGGCTTGGTATTGGACAAACAATATCCCGCCATGGACTATATCCACAGAGATTTCCAATTTTGAGTACTATTTTTGACATGAAAAATACTGTTTTTTTTTTCAGTGTATTCTACCAACTCAAATATAGTTATAGCTAAAGGTAAAATGATAGCGTTCCATCCCATATACAGTTTTTTGTTCAGAATTATTTCCTCCAAGAAATGATCCATTGGTTTCTTCCGCATAACCGGTAAACCGCATTCATAAAATACCAGTTTCGTATGTTACGTAAAGCTGCGTAAGACCGGACTGTAGGGCCATAGAATTGGAACAGGAATGGACGCATTGAGAGTCTAAACCATTATCCATTAACCAAGCGTATGGTCATTGATGATATAAAGTCTTGCGGTTTCATGAAAGATGTTAATCTAATCACACGTATTCTCTAGATAATTTGAGATATGAATGACTCGTCAGAAAACGCTATAATTGCATTACGACATAGAATGAGGCCTATTATCGATACAAGTAAGGACTGCAGATCGGGAATTTTATTAGCCAATTTTCCTCAACAGCGTAACAATTTTAAGAGCGGTTGTCCTTGTGAACTGAAAAACTGTAAGCTAATTTTAGTTTGCACATAGAGATGTGAACACGCATGAATATAATTCCGCATTTAAATAGAAAATACATTTAATGGCTTTCGGTGGCAAATGTACAAAGGTTGGCACATTAGCGCACCAAACCCGTAGTGTGCTTTGGGCACTCAATAAAAGATTAGCCGAAGAGTGTCACTCCATAGTACAGGGAGGAAAGTCGTGTAAGGTGCCTTTCTTAAGGGCACAATGTCGAGCCACGGTGAGTATCGAACCCGGGACCTATTGGTTCCGAGACCAAGCTCGAGCCCCTGCGCCACCGACGCGCCACATTGTGCATTTAGGACTGAAAATTATGATCCGTACACAGTGGTGTTTTTTTTTTACCGGTACAGCTTAATGCAAATCAAATTGACCACTTGTAGGCACTGGGTAGGCACGACAGATATGTGACTATGCCTAAAGATGGCGGTGAATGTTTATTTTTGAAACTTGAGGATGTATTCGAGAGGGAAGCTTGTGTTCGGGAGGGAGTTCTATAATTTGCAGCACGGGGAAAGAAACTGTTGCTGTAGGATACCCTGGGTGCCAAACTAGTTCTAGGGCCGGACAAATTCTCCTGGGCTCAACTCCTCCGTGGCGGTAATTTAGATAGGCGGGGGAAGGGCTCTTGGCTGCCGAAGGAAAACGGCTAACGACCCGATACTAGTTTGGCACACAGGGTAGCTGTAGGAGGACTTTGATAGAATGATGGAGACGCTAACCTAGTTTAAGATGAGTCTAAAAACGACAGATGTCCCAATTAAATCAGTGATATCAACGGAGAACCACATCAATGCAAATGTGGTTGAGAGATCTCTAGCCCGTCAAATTGCTATTTTCTTCATGTACGTAATTGACCTAAAAAGCACCAAAGTAACACCTAAGTTGGTTATTTACCAGCAATAACTTGTGTACAATTTGGCTATAGAGTCTTAGTCTCAGTGAAAATGACATAGTGGATCTTAAATCTTAAAGCTGCATTCTGTAACATTAGGACAATACAAAAAGACAATTTTCTGCTCATTTCTTACAATGTAAGTTGAATCAACCCTACTCTATTGGAAAGTGTCATTCGGGAAGTGGAGGTGACAACATATGACGCCTTACGGGTGTGTTTCAAAGTTGGAAACACAGCTGTCAGCCATGTTTGTTTACATTTGTGTAGTTTGTGGTGGCACCACAAACTGAGTGTGCCTCGTGTGGGCTGTTTTAGTGCCAACCATAAAAGTCAGAAATGTGAGATAATTGCACAAATATACATGAAAAATCGAAGTAAATTACAATCACACCAAGATGTTTTTGGAAATGAATATTTCAATATTCTGATGCAAAAATGCTACATAATGCCCCATTAAACCATATAATGATTAAAAGTTAGTCTCCCCACACCTTCTGGTAAACACAGGCTTCTCATATGACCACTCGATTGTAACACTTTATCAAAGACTTGTGATATCCCTTATTATTTAAATGATTATGATATAGATATGTTAGGTTTTAGTCGACATTAGGTCTTATTCAACACACTTATTTTATTGTTGTTACTCTCTTTATGTAGTTTGCCATACATTGTACCATGTGCAATTGTCGTGCAATAAAGTTCTTCTATGACCAAGTTAGATCACAGTGTAAGTCTGTTAAACACGCCAACCTGCTGTTGCTGTACTCCATTTATCCATATCAAGCAGGTCGCTAAGCATTCAGGGACAAACCTTGATTACTATTATGACTTCAATGGAAAGCCCCTATATAGGCGGTATATATCTCCGTTTTTCGGCTACCGGGTGCCCTGGATTTCCTGAATAAAGCTAAGTCTCAGGTATTTTCCGTATGGACGTTACAAAACACAGGTGGCAGGTGGTTTTGTGGTTAGGGTTGTTCAACTCAGAATCCGTAGGTTCTGGGTTTGAATCCCTGACAGGCCCCAGTGTTGTAAGGGAAAGGTACCTAACACCTATTTCCTCGAGCTCACTCGACCCAAATGTTGTGTGCTCAAGGGAAATGCACTTTATATACTTATTTTCTCACTTGAGTCGGGTGAAAATGAGAACCTAGCCTTGGTTAGAGACCTCCTCTATCTTGGATTGCAAATACATTAATTCTGAGTTTGAATCTCAATCAGACCTCAGTCTTGTGTCCTTGTGTACGTCTATTTTCCACCTAGATTCAGTTTGGGGACGTCCTCTTGGGTTGGCAATTAGGCCACTGCATGTAATTCTTATGAATGACATCAGAGCGCGTATTAATTTTCGCTTGATTTTGAAAAAAACAACAAGAAATTTTGTTGCTCTCTAAAAGTGGTCAACATGCCGAAAATGGGCAAAGATGTCTGTTGCCATGCCGGAACGTAGGCGGCAGATAAGTATGAAAAGAGGAGACAAGAAAATAAAAGGCTCTGATTTAATGTTTGTGCTTTTCTTTGATGCAGTAATATGTGATGTTGGCTGTGTGTATGTGATGTTCCCACTAAATCAAAATCATTTGTACAATGATTGAGTCAAAATTTGAAAATGTAGGAACCTTGTTTTTTCGGCCCGCCTTGTTTTTTTCGCCCGCTAGCATTAGATTTGGAGTCTGCAGAGGATGTCATCCATAAAATTTACTTGCTGTGGCC